ACAACTAACAGACAAAATTGTATCATGTTTTTTTTTAAACTGTAGTTCTAGACTAGCTCTACACTGAAATAGAACTAATTTTTTAATAACTTTTAATAAAATTTTGTTTTAATTTTTATTAATAATTAATACCGGTTATTAAAAACCGGTTCTATTTCAGTGTAGAGCTAGTCTAGAGCTACAATTTAAAAAAATACATGATACAATTTTGTTTGTTAGTTGTGTAGAAAAATGTACCTAAATTAGTCCAAATTCATATGTAAAATAACCCTTTAAAAAATCCGAACCTAATGACCCTAACTATGTTTTGATCAATTAGTTTATTGAATACCCTAGTGTATCGGGTATAAGGTGGGAACCAAAAACGACTCAAATACATTTTTTATACAAATACATATACCTCCCTTTATTAGAGGCGAACAAACCCATACTTATATAGTTTTGCATGGGGGAAAGAACAAAATCGAGCTTTTTTCTAATCTACTCTAAGCTTGACAAGCCCCAGCATGCTGCTTTCAGCTTTGCCTGGTTCTCTGTTTACAAACAGATGAGCTTGCCACGGATATTTTAGTAAGCCACATCTTCTGTTCTTCTTTTATCGTGGTCTTGGGGCTTTGTAGAAACAATGGCTTCGCGAGTTCTTTGGCGCATCAAATCGGGTCTCGGTCACGTTTTCGGACCTCATAATGTTGAATTCGGTGCAGCGAATTTTGGCGATTTTGCCACTAACAATATTTAAAAAACTATATCAATCCCTAATCACCACAGAGAATTGTATTACTTATATAGATTTGACGCATTGCTCGTTCAATTTCAGGAGTTTAAAATAAGTGAACGAAATCGATAAACCTTAAAAAAAAAAAAGTTCAACAGACAAATAGATTACTTAAAAGTAACAGATAGAACATTAACACCTTTATTAATTAAAAGAATTACAAATATCAATATTCTGTATGTTTTAACGTTTTAAAAATATTGCAAATGAAATTTTTATTGATACTCATTGATAGAAAAAAAATAAATAAATTATATTGATTTTATCAGTTAGAACCATAGTTTGAACCTGAACTAACTGTTATGACCGAAATTATTAGTCTCGAAGACTGATCTATCAATATTAGTCACGATTAGTTTATTACATGGCTTAAATTATTTTTATTATTTAACTGTATATATTATGGCCGCATTAGACAATTTAGTTCATAGACGAAATAATTGTCTATGAAACTTTGATACTGACCCGTGGCAAACATGATGATCCTGTGATGTTATGAAAAGCAGGAGACGTATATATGTACTTGGAATCTAGTGGGAAGAGTGATAAAAAAAAAATACGTACTGGTAAGTAAATAAAAAAAAATAATAATAATGAAATAAAAAAAAATAAAAAAAACACTTAGATCATAGCATGCGAAGCCTTCAAAGAATAAGAAACAACCCAAGTCTAGAAAAGCCGCAAAATATTAAGAAAACAAAAGAGAACCACTAAAGAATTCTCAAGGCATCGTGGTTGCATCTTGGCAATACCGTTATCAAGATGGCCCCAAGACCATGGAACAATAGAATCGCCAGATGAGGAATATCCACCATGACAAAACACTAACCAAACAAATGCCAAAAAGGGATAAATAAGGCTAACACCAGGTGAAAATAAATAAAAAGGGATTAATTAGGAAACTGTGGCCGTGTAAGCTGGATAGTAATCGCATAAGAACAATATCGATGACATTATAAGATAGGAATTAGATTTAGATTCTTTTTTCTTTTGTTTTTATTTACAGAATTCTTGTATAAATATGGTTGTAGTCCACTCTCTCAAAAAAATAATAATAGATTCGAATAAAAAAAAAATATAATAAAAAGTTTGAATTTGATCAAATAAAATCTAATACTTCCTTTTTGTTCCTAAAGTCCTTCGTTTTTGTCTTTCTATACTCATAATAAACCAATTTAATATCTTACCTTGCCAAGTTGTAATCACCTCACCCGGTTAGTTTTGTTGTGTAGTTGTTTTCTTTTTAGTTTTGTGTGTGTGTTGTAGCCTTGTAGTAACTATCTAGATTCGTGTCCTATCTAGCTATTGCCACTAATAATATATATACAGTATAACACTAAATAGAATAGTCTCTAATTTGAATAGCGAAACAAAACAAAATGAATAAAAATTTTGAAGTTACTGAAAGACTTGAAGAACCTAATGAATTCAATAAACCAAATGAATTTGATGAATATAATGAATTCAATGAACCTAATGAATTCAATGAACCTAATGAATTTAATGAATATGAAGAATTTGATGAATCTGAAGAGCTTGAAAGATCTGAAGAAATTGAGCAAGTTGAAAATCCTAATGAACAAAATAAACATAAAACAATTAAAAATTCTGCAAAAAAACGATTACAACAAAACCGAGCAGGACAACAAAAAAAACCAATTTGGGAACATTTTAAAACAGTTGGTATAACCAAATCTGGACATACTGGTGGGCAATGTAGTTATTGTTTGCAAATATGGAAGCAAGCTAAAGCAAGAAATTTAGAAGATCATATTGCTATCTACTGCAAAAAAGCACCAGCTTAAATTAAAGCTAAATATATAAAAGAATTAAAAAATCGTTCACGAAGTATACCAAGTGAGCAAAAAAAAGTTAACTAATATTTTAATCAATCAATGATGAATACTTATTATGAACCATCAACAATTAATTCTATTAAAACAAATCTTTGTCATTGAGCACTTGCCAAATTTTTTGTTTGTTGTGGAATTCCATTTTAGATTGTAGAAAATCCATTTTTTATTAATTTTGTAAATTCACTTTGTCCTGGTTACAAATTGCCTAAAAGAACTCAATTATCTATGACCTTATTACATAATGAGCTAGCTAATATTCTTGTTAATATTGATGAGGATTTTCAAAATAAAAAAAATTTAACATTATGTTAGTATAATAAATTTTTTATTAGCACCAAAATCTACTTTTTTATATAATAATTTAATTTTGTAATAAAAAATACT